CACTGTCTAAAAAATATATACTAATAAATGGATACAAAGCATTGACTGACCGTTGACGTGGATAAGAGATGAGCCTCTGAGAAGAGTGCCAGTGGATATTTGGATAAACACCACGGTGATCCAACACGGAGATAAAGTTTTCCTTCTTTTTTTTTTTTTTGGACAAAAAAAATGGTTAGATTATGTGTTAGTATATGTTGTTTTATAAGAGGATCGAACTTTAAAATTAAGTGCATTTCATTTATTATCCAATAAATAACGTAACAACCACTAGATCAGAGATTACAACATAGAGACAAAGTTCTGAGTCATTTTGGGTCTTTTCTTGGAATGTTTAAAGGGCCTACTCAGATTGATGTGAGATGCTTCACAATGGAGTTGCAATCAAATCCAATTTTATCATTTCAGTTTCTTTATGAACAGATAAGAGTTTAACCAAGTTGTTGTCAATAACCTTACATTTTGATTTGGTAAAAACCCTTCTTAAGCCCCTAGACTTGTCCTAAATTAGTATTGAAGCCCTTAAATTAAAAATAGTGCAAATAAACCCTCCAATTCCTTAACTGATGCAAATAAGCCCTTATTACTAACTGCCCAGACAGCTTTGATCTGATGTACATTGACTTTGTTCGTTCTTTCCCTTCCACAATTTTTCGTAGAAGTAGATGCTAATGTGACACTATTCCACGTACATGTAGATGATAATGTGCATAAAAGGGTGAAAATCTTGAGAATAATAATTAAAAAAAATCTAAAGAAACTAACATTTAAGTTTGAAGGTTAGAATTTTTACCTTGATATTTTTTTATTATTATTTAGATTCTTAGGATTTTTACCATTTTATCCTCAGCTACATCTATAGCTACATGAAATAGTGGAAGGGAAAGAACATATGAAGTCAGTGCACCTTAAATCACCACCATTTGAGTTGATAATGATAAGAGCTTATTTGCCCCAGTCGAGGAGTTAGAGGGTTTGTTTGCATTATTTTGAGTATTTTCTTGAAATGTTTAAAGGGGCCTCTACAGATTGATGTGAAATGTTTCACAACTAAGTTGGAGTCAAATCAAAGTTTATCATTTCAGTTTATCAAATCAAAGAATTTAACCAAGTTCTTGTCATTAATCTTACAATTTGATTTTGAAGTTAATTTCATAGGACCAATTTTTAATGCATGTTCCATTGATTAAAAGTTTTGAGTCTGTGTTAGAAGCTTGAAACATACTATAATTTACCCTTTTGAAAATTATTTTTTACTTTATGTTTCCATAAATGTTGAAGGGTAAAATAGGAAGATAATTAATAATTAATGTTACATTAAAAACAGAAAAATTACAATTATTTTACGATGGGTTTTAAATGGGTCAGAAGTGAGCCGAAAACCCCATCTACACAAAAATGAATGAATTCACCTGGCCCAGCTTGTAAGGAAAACAACAGGACCTAACTAAAACCCAAGAGAAACACAACCCAGCAAGCAGCAGTCCAAATGCCCCTAAAACCCAAAAAAATGATGATTTTATTTGTCCCGCTGTATTACGGCAGTGGTTATGACTACCACAAAATTCATGGGGTGGTGGACTGATTTACAAGACAACTTATTTTCTACCTTATGGATAACATTTAATTGAGGTAATAATTATTAATAACACACTTTTTGACTGGACTCAAAACTATCACATTGGATGATTGAATTATGTTTCAAGTTATCAACCCAATTTTTGTGTAATTTTGAGAGAGTATGAGTGGATGGAAGCTTGAGTCATGAATTCTACAGTATACAGCATAAGAATTGAAAATTGTAGGCAGAGATTCCTAACTAAATCAAAGGCAATAAACCAAAAATGTACCAAACTACCAGAAATGACATAATTGCAGATGTGGACATGCTGCCTGCCTTGCCTCCCTTAAAAGATCCATCTCTTCTCCTACTATTCCAACCCAAACCCAAACTAATACATGGTAGGAATACAATACACTCCACGCGCCATTCTTCTCTGCTTAAAAGTTCTCAAGACCCTTGAGTACCTATTTTATTTGGTTAAATGTTAATTTTGATCCCTAATTTTAAAATTTTGTAAATTTTTATGTATATTTTTAGTTTTTTAATTATGAAAAATACATATTTTAATCCTTTCATTAGTTAATCCATTAAATTTATTTAAATATATATATTTTAAGTCCCTCAACTAAAGTTAAGAGATAAAATATATGCATATATTATAAAGTGAGCAAATAAAAATATGTATATTTAGATATATTTAACGGATTAACTAATAAAATAATTAAAAAAATACATTTTTCATAAGTTTGTTTTTCATAATTGAATAATAAAAAAAGTAAATAAAAAATTAAGAAATATAAATTGTATAAAATTTTAAATGTGAGAGATCAAAATTAACATGTAACCATTTTATTTCATCAAAAGAAGAAGAAGATGAAGAAGAAAAAGAAGAAGAAAGAAGGAAAGGTATAATGTCAAATCTTGTGTCTAATAACTAAAAATTTCACGACCAAGATCATTAGGCATATTAGCTTGGTTGAAATGGTGTGCTACATGATTGATGGTTTCCTTAATCAAGAATTATAAAGGTGCAAACTATTACGAGATTTAACATATGATATGATGGATAGTTTCCTTAATCAAGAACTATAAAAGGTGTAGATTATTACTATTTTATTATTATTGCTTTACGTTACATTCAGCTCGTGTTAACTTGATTCACTAGTGTTCTTTAGAGTTTAAAGATATTTTAACGTTTTGATGAGAACAGAAATGTAAATTAAAAATTTACGGTTAAAAGATTGATTTTATTTTGAAAAATAAACAATTATAGAGACAAAAAGGAAATCATCTGTCCATAGAGAAAGCTATATATTTTGAATTCGCGTAGAAAGCCAATCAAGAAAATCATTTTCAACTTCTATTGGGTTTTATTTTT